AAATGTGCCTTATTTCTGCATTTCTTATCCTAATGGGATTGGATTTCTTTTAAGGGTAATTCTCACCCTGAGCTACTTACCCCGTGTAAAAGTTGGTTCTGAGATAATTACAACACTCTGGTGATGTTCACACTGTGCCACTTACAGTAACAATGGAGTTATGCTGAAAGTATTTGCTGTGGAATTGCTCTACTTGCTTAATTTTTCAAGCATATTCTAGATCTGCTACCCCTACATCCCATGAGGCCATTAGAGAACCAGTATCACATCAAGATACGCACCAAGTAGGCACCACTACTGCCCCTGAGCTAGCCCCAAGCCTTGTCTCTGTGTCAGTGAAAGCTACCTCCACATCTAGCGCTGACAGAATTTCATGAACATTCATCATTTACCAAATACACAGGAGACCAACACAAATATAAAAGTAGGTGCTTGTAAGAGGGTTGGTTTTAGTTAATTGTTCAACCACATATTACAAGTCTCCAGCAAAAACTTAATGTCATAGAGACTTGCCTGCAGGAAAATGACCAGGTAGCATTCTACCACTGGCTGTATCAGACCTAGGAAATTTGACGACTGCAACATGCTTACATTTGTGCCTTAAATCTGCAAGCAAGGAGTGGTGCTTTTGGTACTCACAGTATGCATTTCTTTCCATGACTTACGACTCTGGGGAAAAATCCTCTAGAGCTAGAGAAGAAACCCAAACTTTCTCAACCAAACACGGCTGTATAGCAAATCACTCCTAATCAGAATTTTCACCAGGAGGAAATTGCAACCCATTTCTATCCATTTGCCTTTTATATTCTCCCAAATTACAGCTCCTTGAACATTAGAACAAGCTTGACTCAGGAAGGCATTCATTCTTAACCTGCTGGCTTCCATTCACACATGCACACTCTGGATTTGTTCTCTGTGATCCAAAACAACAGCTGATGCACCTCGTCCTTCTCTTGACGATGTAAGAGAACTGATGTTAAGCACAAGGAGATGAGCCTGTCAAATGCATGCATGGCTAGCCAACAGCTGGCCTCTTCTTATACCAAAGTCAGGTTGATGTCTAGAGCACTGGAACCATGAGTGCTGCTGTCCAGGCTGCGAAGTAGGTGCCAGTGCCAGCTCTAGGAAAGGGACTATCTGCTATTGGTGCAAACAGGCTGCATGAAAAGGCTAAAGGAGGAGACACAATTAGCAAGCTATCAAGAGGCCTACTAGCCAAACGAAAACACAGGTAGTGAGCTTCTTTCATTGCTCTTAATCACCTTTATCATGGTTCAGCAAAGCTGTATTCAACAGTTGACAGGACTCCAAGTCTTGCTGTCCGTGTATCCAAATCACAGCTTATTTTTAAGGAATGTGTAGAGAGGGAAGAGAAAAGAGGTAGTATACTTAATTTTGTTGAATTCTATGACAATTGACCTTTCCCCAGTCCTCAGAAAAAGGAAAGACAGGCATGGTCCACCTTTGCTCCACAGGGTTATTTTGATTACAAAAACATTGGTGCATTTTGGCCTGTTTTCAGCATATGTTTCACTGAGCACAGAAAGGATAGTATCTGAGTCATCAAGTCACATACTTGGAGGTTAGAAAGGATAACCAGCCAGGTCATCTGTGTAGACATAATGCAGCCTTCGTTGTATGTCTGCATCATGAGTTAGCCTCTAATTACTACATTTTCCACAGGCAATTACCTCACTCACTGTGGAGGTTAGACCAAGCTGCAGGGTGGGTTGCGGGGGTACATGTCTCAGCACTCTAAGGAAAGAAGCTGTTTGCCATAGGAATTCTCGCTCATTCAGCAACATAATTCAAAGGAAGAGTCATGAACAAAGCAGTGCCTTACGGGAAGAAGAAAGTTGATGGTGTAGTTAGAGGAAGACTGGTAAAAACCTGTCTTCTACTCCAGATTCTTCCTAATGACACTGGCAAGTCTCTAGCACCAAGATTTTAGCATATAGCAGTTCCTCAGGTTCCTCAATCTGGCTGTCCAGTGCAGCACACACAGGGCTTCACTCGTGCAGTGCTAACCAGTCCCAGTGCGGTGGAAATCAGAGAAGTGTCTTGGCTCTGTCTGTTCAGGGGTGTGTTTGGTACTATGAACACAAGGGCCTTCATGGCCACAATGTCCTTCGTCTTCATCCTGGCTCTTGCCCTGACCCAGTCTGTGGTGTTCAGGAAGCTGCTCTGCCTAAGTGGCTACTCAGCCCTTCCGTGTGTAAGATAAGATACTCAATTTCTTTACCAGGTCAAGGAGAGGCAGGGGAGAGGGGGAGTTAAGTTATCAGTTTAGCTCCTTCAAATTCTCATAAAATGTTAAGGAGCTTGATTTTTCACACTTTCTCCATCTCCACTAGGGACACAAACGGCACTTAGATTTATTACAGTATGGCCTCAGCTTTCTTATACCACAAATACCCACTTCTACCATGCAGAGTGATTGCAAAGGTAAATCCTGAAGTATGTCTCAAATACTGATACTCCAGAGAACATCAGGACAAGGCTAGGAAAGAAGGCAGTGAAGGAGGAGAATGAAAGAATATATTGACCAGCTGTGTCAGATCTTCATCCTCACCTGTTCCATGCATTTTACCTGCCTTGCCCACTATGAAAAAAACAAGTCAGAAATTAGGAAATTAAAGATTGCATCATAACACATGTTCATGGTGGGGCTGGATAAAGGCACCACTGTCATTCTGGGAATTCCTACCTTCACTTTGCAAACAAAATAGCTTTTCAGAAGGCATGCATACATTTTCATGCAGATTCAGGGAAGGAGGAAGAGTAGGAATGGAGATATTAACATACTATGGTAATAAGAAGAAAGATACTACAACAAACTCACTTAACATCTGTTTGAAGCCTCAGCATTTTCTGCTCTCATGGTATTAAAATTAGAATATGCTAATTTTATTAAGCTACATTGCTCTTTGGCATAATCAAGGCAGTTTTATTTGCTAGCTGTTATTTGTGAAATACAATGTATTATGCCAAATTCAGTATCTAAAATAACATTTAAAATACAAAAGTTTTCCCAGGACAAATACTGCAAAATCTCATTGTCTATGTGCATGTCTGTCAGTGCCTCTCTTGTAATTTTGGAGTCCACTCTTTAATTTCAGTCAGAGTTGACTGCAGGGTCAGTCCAACAACTCCTTTGAGATTCAGTCCCCCACCATAGGCTTCCGGTTTCTCTGACTCTTTCATGCTTTGAAGGGTAATTTTCTCTCCATCCAAAAGGCTGAAAAAACAAGAGTTCTTGGCTATTTCTTCCTACCCATCCACAGACCAGCAGCAGACTCTTCCCCAGTCATCACCGACTAGGAGCTTGGAGGAATTTCTTGAGAAAGAAAGAAGAAGAAGAGAAAAAAGTTTAAGAACAAGATGCAAATAGGATTAAGGCTTTCTCCTGTATGTCTAGCAATTAGGAGGATGCAGCATTCAAGGGAGCAGGTTATCTTTAATGTTAAATTTGATGAACAATGATATAGACAAAGATTCATACTTCAAAGACTGAATTTAGAATCAGATCCAAACTTTTCTGGAGTTCAGTGGGTTAGTTGTGGACAATCTAGCCAGATCAGGAGCTCTTACCCTTCACTGATCCTGAGAATCCACAAAACATCAATTAAATCTGCTGGCTAGATTCAGAATTCAGACTTGTTAGCATATAACGTCATGGGTTCAGCCACTGAAATCTCTGCTGCATGCAGTGCCATCAACACTAATGAAACTAACCCTCCCCGCCAAACTTTCCCACTTTCAATGCATATAAGCATCACACTCAAAGTGCTCTAAATCTGAGCATGCAAATATAGGAATCATTTTAGCAACTATCAAAACGTCAACACTTTTGGAAAGACAGCAACTGTTTTACAGTACATTGTAACATCCTGGGGTAGGAGATAACAACAAATATTACAGCCAGATGAAGCTGCAGGAGGGAGATTGAGTAAACTAAAGTACTGCTGGCTGTGCAAACTAAGTCGAGTTTAACAACAAAGTTGTCCTTTGCCCCAAAACTTCCTGTTTACATTTTAAGGGGATAGCATCTCCAGCAGCTCCTAGGATAGTGGTTTTTCTGTGGTGCAGAGACAGTGTAGCAGCTACTGATCTCTACAACTATTCCGGCCGAAAGCTGCTATTTCTCCCGGGTTGTCTCCTATCTGACCGCTGACTATCCCCACATCCTTCACTTAACAGAGTCAGCCAGGCCGGCTCCCAGAGTGACTGCATTTGGCTAAGACAGGGCGGTTCGACGGAGATTTTAGAAACAACAACAACGAGGCAAAACCCCAGCAGCAATACCGAGTTCAGAATAAAATAACAGACCGCGGCGGCGCAGGGCGGAGCGGCGGAGAGCCCGCGGCTGGCGCGGTGCCCTCTGCCGGGCACCGGCCGCAGTGCGAGGGGGGGGGCAGGACCTGGATACCGCCAGCGCTGTCACCGCTGGGCTGGTCTTACTTGGTTTTCCAGTCGAGGCAAGGCTGGGATTCAGTTCCCGACAGAGGACAAGATGTTTTCCACACTTGTTACCTGTCGCGTGGTTTACAAATAAATATTTAGAAAGCGTCTGGGGGCAGCATGGATGGGATTGTTATTATTTACGGTCAGCAAGTTGTTAAGTTGAGAACAAATACATTTAATCTCAGCCTATGCTGTTGCAAAATAGGCCCATCCCAATTTAATTTGTGGCTATGATAGTTACATGTGCTGACGTGCGGCTGTATCAATTGTGTGCTAAATTGGATTTGTGTATTATTGCTTTCTAAATTGCATGCCTAGTTCAGCAAAATTGTTCATCAGTTTTCACTGGCTCTATGCTTAATAAGATGCCCCACAATACCTTGCTGCCAGGATATAATACAGCCCATAATTGCCTAGTAAAAAGAAATTACATAAAGCCCTGGTATTATCAACTTATCTAAATCTGCTCATAACAGAACCAATAATTAAATGCTGAGAACATTTCACATACACACATCCCTAACAACATAACTCAATCATAGTTACTTTGGTCTTTTTAATGACTGTGTTTTGTATTAATTTTATTTTCTTTAATGCGTACAATGAGATGTGGGAATATTTGGCCATTTAAAATAATTCTGAAGTCATCTGAACAGTTTAAGGGAGCTTGTCACTGCTTTGATTACACCTCTCAACTCTTTATTAACAAATGCCGCTGCTTTATGCATCTGAGAACATGCGTCCTTATACTTCTGTGTGAACAGGTGTGTGTGTGTCTACACATCACCAGATGCCTGGTCAATGTTTGTCGTCTTTTATGATCCTCTGAAAAAGGCACAAACAGGAGTATTCTGCTGTGCTCCCATGGGCAGCTTTTAAGTCCTAGCTCGGGGAACTGTTTAAGATGTAAATTTTAAAAATAGCTAAAAATCTCAGTTTGCTCAAAGACATTCCTATGCAATTGTACCTGAGTAAATAGGACATGGAAATAAATGCCACAGGAAGTTACGGGCAAAAATGTAGGAAATTCTTAAAACAAATTGGATGTTTGTACACGTAAAAAGAATCTACAAAATGACCACATAATACTACTAGGATTTTAGAAGGAACGTTAAGTCTTTTCCTTTGATTTACAGCAATCTGATCAGAGACCACAATGAAACCAAATATGTAGCTATCACAGCCAGACTATTTCACATCTGGCATCTCTGGTGTTCTTGCACCTTCCCTAGAAGCATCTGGCTTTAGCTACTCTCAGAGATGTGACAAAAGGTCAGATGGGCATCTGGTTTGGCATCTCCAATATGCCTCTGTATGTATAGATATTGTCACATAGCAATCTAAGTAATGTAGATGCCAAGTTACATGAACAGCACTTCTGAAGGTCTCAGTGGTAATGCCCAATTACTGTGTATCTTTTTATGCAGATGTTACATCTATAGCTCTATTTATGCAAATTGTGTGCCTAAAATTGAAGTAATAGAGAACGTCTGTAATGAGAATCACAGCAAATAAGTGGTGTAAATTATACATACTAACACCACAATTCCTTTCTCTCATAAAATGTGCTGCGAAGAGAAGCAAGCTGTGCTATTTAGGATGTGCCTTTAAAGCTCCCTGGCAGGTTTCAGCTCCTGTATTTGTTAGAACAGAGAAGTGAGCTTGAGTTGTTTTTAATCCCAGTCAGCACCGTAGCCCCATCGTCTTATTAACCTCAGCTCTGCGAAAACTCCAGGGTATCAGCTTCAGCTTGGCACAGCCTTGAATAAACAGTTCCATGCACTAGGGCCTGCTACTGGCCTCCCACCAGTTTGAAGGGCCTCTGACCTCATTTAAGGTGGCAAAGGCAACAAACTTCCCTGTTCCATCCCAGGGCAGGATCGGGCACTGCCCACTCTGACATTGTGCCACAATACTTTAGTACAGGCCATCAGCAGAGGTGCCAAGGGAATGGGCTTTCTGGAGCCAGGAAAGTTCATTAGTTTCATAGGTTTATGCAGAAAGGTAGTCTATCAAGTTTGACAAAACCCGTCACAGAGCCTATGAAGAAGCTTTCGGCTTCATCCAGGCAGGACGGGCCCTTAAGACTGGTGGCTCAGGGCAGTGGCTACCCACTACTGCTGCTGGTTACGGTAACACTGCACCAGTTACCTGCACCATCTCCTCTTCACACCACTGTGCTCACACACCCTCTTCTTCCTCACAACCAAACAAGGTCTGCAGCGCACAGTCCCACAGCTGTTCACAGCCCACCCTGTGGTCATACCCGTGTTGCCTGGCTCTTCCATTGCACCTCCCTGCGGTCTCAGTCCATCAGCTTGGCCTGGGGTATTGGTGTATTCAGTCTTCCACAGCTGTGCCAGCAAGGAGATAAAAATGGAAAAAGCATGGATTATAACAATGCAACAAGAGAGAGATGTGGCTGTCTGCTTCCCAGCAAGGGGTGAAAATTGGACTTCTAACATCAGAACAGGATTTCACAGTTGTCTCTCCCTCTGCCACAGTGCTGCAGGGCGTCATACTGGAGAAATGTATGCTGGGAGCTGGTGGGGTTGCTGGGCTGACACGCTAACGAGGATCCCAGTAAGCCAGGAAGCTCTCCCATCAGACTGGAGGCGGAACCAGCAGTGAATTCCTGCTCCTGAGAAAGTATGACTTAATAAACTGAGCTACGAACCAACTCTCAGAAACCAGACTCAAACATATTTCCGATGGGCAATACAATTTTTGCTTTCAAAACCACACCAGAATGAAAAGCACGTTTTCAAAACTCTTCCTGAATGGCAAAAACTCCTCTATTCAGGAGGATAAAAGTTGATAGGAAGCAAACATTTTACTCTGATTTTCAGCTTCTGCCCTGTGCTGCCCTGTTAAGAAAGTGGCATGGGCTTTTAGTAGTTCCGTCCCTCCATGTAGGATGCAAAATTTTGTCTCTCGTCTACAGTGAATCAGATTCCCTTTCCTCTCCCCCATCTACCTACCCTCACCACTCCATCTGTGCTTCCTGTGATGATGATGCTGCGTGTGTCCCAGTCCATCACTTCAGCAAAGCAGCAGCAAACAATACGGCTTTCGGGGCTGCAGGTGGTGTTAATGCTTGCAAGAAGCTGGCCATTGACTGTCCACAGATATAGGTAAGATCCAGCACAAGAGATAATAGCACCCTGTAACAAAGCAAGAGGCAATGTTTCAAGATTCTACACTCATCCTCCTCACAACTCTTAACTGCTGATTATGAATTACAGAGTTGCTCTGACTTAAATTCTGACCTTTGTTTTGGTACTGGGCAGATGATTTAAACCAGAGATAGTAAAAGATGACATTTTTTTCTCATGAAAAATTCTGACATTTTTACATTGTAGAAACCCAAAACAACTGTCTCAGATTTAGCAAGATAATGCAGAAGCAAAGGCTTTTTTGCATTTTTTAAATTAAAACATTTCTTTAAATGTTCCCTTTCTATTTTCCAGAAAATCCAGACTTTTAGTAGAAAAGCAGACTGACAGACTGACCTAGCTACTGTCAGGGACAGGGACTGTGCACAGGCAATGCCTAGCACAGGTTCTGGGCCAGGACTAGTGCTCTTAAGTTTTACAAATAAGCATTCTCTTAAACAAGGACACGGTGTTCACCTGCTTAGCTGCGAAGCCTTCGGTGATTTCACAATCCTCCTCTGCCCCTCACAGGGAGCTTAATGTCATCGCATTTTTAGACTGTGTTTTGCATTTGACCAATGACCAGCTCAGCATTCAGTGAGCTGCACTTCTGATGCAGAGAACATCCTTTGCAACTGAATCTCTCCTCTCCCTTCCGTGCAGGTGCATAGTCTTTACCACAGACTGCACGTAAGGAGCAGATACACAGGTAATCCCTTAGGGGCAATAAACACACAGAACCAAGAGCCAATGCTGCAATTTTGAACGATCTTATCAAAAGTGCATTTTGATCAAGTTACTAATTGAAATTCCACCTAACTTTTCCACCCTTGATGCCTACTAAGAACCAGCTAAATAGAACACCATCAGCAAAGTCATCTGATTCTGGCAAAGGCCAGCGTGCCCTTAAATTAGCAGCAAGCATCTGGTTTAAATCAACTAACACCATATTTCACCCCTGCCTGATTTGGGACCAGGGCTCTTCACGCTACAGGGCAGAATTCTGAAGATAAAACAAGGATAGCACATTTGAAACAGAGTTGCCAATAATTAAAGAGATTAAATATCAGCTACCTTATCTGCATGAGAGTACATTATGTCCAGGCATTTGGTAGTGATCTACAGTGTTTTTCAAGTCTAGACCAGGGATTTAAAACTAACTGAAATCATGAGTTACAGCAAGCTTTTACAATCCTCCTTAGCTTATAAACTTTTTGGGACAGTCTTTTTATTTTGTGTCTACGTGATACAAACACCCTGAGGTTTGGATCTATAAATGGAGCTTCTAGTTGCTCAAGCAAATATGAAAACCAACAATCACATAACAGAGAGCTGCATAGGGTTCTTATTTCACAGAAAAGTATGTGGTTCAGAAATTTGTTTCCTTCAAAACTTTGCTTCAAAACATTCTGAATTTTCCAGGAAAAAACCTTGTTACCAAACATGTACTTTTGTGTCAATCAAAATACTTAATTTAGCACCATGGAAACATTTTGTTTCTATCTTCATGTTATAATATATAAACATATATAGAAAATTTAAACAAAAACACCTTTCAGAATTAAACATCCTGTTCTGCTAACGTCAAAAATAATTTTTTCATCCACAACATATGGACCCCCTTCATCTTTTTTTCCCTTGAAATTTCAGTCATATTTTCCTAAGGTTTTTCCTCTTTTAAATGAACCTTTCTGCAGACTGTTGTCCAATCAGTTTAACCATTTGCACTCCCACAAGCTGGACAACTGCTCTTGGATCAACCACCAGACTGTTCCTGGCACAGACCATCTCTTTTTTGAAGCTCCAGAAGAGGAGCTACCAACTAAAAAGGCTACTGTCAATGGTGGGCTGGTACATAGAAAGGAGAGGACTCCATCCTCTTGGGGTGTCAAGCCCATAGTCTGTGCCAGCCCACCCACTCATTTCTGAATGCATGGCACTGCTTCAACTGACTTCATAAGGGACCACCAGGGTATTCTGAACTGGCCTGCTGAAGCCACTGGCCATTTTACGCTAACCAGGACCCCTGGGGCTGGGAGCTGAGCTGGCACTGAACAGACTACTTAATTCCCACCCTCAATTACTAACCATCAGACTGAATGGTTAGTAAAGCTCTGATATGAGATGGCTATTTTTGCACAGAGAATGTCTGCCTGGTTTCTTACTGCAATGAACTCAATTTTGCCTCTGTTGGTACAAGCTCTGGTACTGGATCCAACCTTGAACTGTCTGAGCAGCTGGAATCCTGCTCTAGTATACTAACAGAGATAGAAAATACAAATGTGCAAGCAACACTTTTGGAAAAAAATCTTATCCAGAGTGCTTCTAGTAAAATCCAATACAGAATATTTTCCTATCAACATGCATGCAATTCTGGCCAGGCAAAGACCACAACAGACTTACACTCACTGCTATCAAGAGCCCCCCCTGCACCTGAGAGTAGAAGGGAAAGTAAAGCCAACATTGTAACCGCAAAGGTGTAAGGAAGTTGTCAGCTGAGGCGGCAGACTGAGGTCTAACATGTCTCAGCTGACGTGGCTCTGCTGCATGAATGTCAGGAGAAATTAATGAAATAATGGAAGCAATAAGGTTATGAGTGAGCCAAATCCAGGAGCTACTACGGTAATACTTCATGCTCTGTAAACTAAAAGTTGTTTAATCCTGCTATCTACCCATCCAAAGATGCTTCTACTTAGCTACTCAGTCTAAGATGTTGCTTTTAGTGCTCGCCTCTCGTCATTAAGAACACTATTAGCGATCTCTGTAGAAAGAAAAAAAATCAATGTATCAGACTCTCAGGATGTTTTTATGTTGGGAAGAGCACCCATTAAATTATCATGAAATGTTCATGGATACATCAGAAGAAAGATGATAAATGAAGATCTTACTGTTGAATTGTTGATGGCAACAGAACAGAGGCTTGCCTTGTGGGCAGGAAGCTGGTTTATGTACGTCAGCTGGTTCAGGTCCCAAATGATGCAGGTTCTGTCATCGGATCCACTCACGAAGATGCTGTAGGTCACAGATGCAGCAAGGCAGGTCACTGCCTGAGTGTGCCCATACAAAGTCTGCGGGGGAAAAAGCAACCAATAAACCACAGCAGCGGGTGCCTGCTTTACTAGGGAACCACAGTCCTACTGTCATTTGCTTAGTAAGAACAAGCAACCTAGTCATTCTTTGGACAACTGAAAAAGGTATGAGGGAGAAATCTCAAAGGATCTTATAGAAGCATCCTTGATCTCAACTCATGGTTGACGAAAGATGAGTCTTCAAGAGATTAAATGATTTGCCCCAAGCTGCACGCTAACTCAGAGCCTTTGGCATACATTTCAGACTCTACGACAGTGCTTTGTGCTCAGCAGCAAAACATTATTTTTCACTTCAGTCCATGCAGTTTTAAGTAAAATTTATGCTTGGAAATTACTAGTTCTTAATATTTAAAAAAACATTTTGAAACAAAACTTATCAGGTTGTATTTCAGTGACCTTCCCCAGTCTTTTCTTTCTGTTTTTCTGAACAAGTACTAATATTTTTCCAATTCTAGTTAAGAAGAAAAACAGCATTTGGGGATAATCTTTGCTTTAAAACCATATATGAATTCCTTTCTCTTTAATCATTATCCAACATGTTGGGTTTTTTTTTTAATAGGTTCTAGAGAGTGCCCAGTTTAAGTTAGCCTTGAACAGTTTCATAAAAAAAGACTACACTTTAGGCAATTTAATAGCACAAATAGAAATCATGGATAGAAGTATACTGATTACAGTTGTTTAATGCAGCATTCTCGAGTGACAGCAGTATACATTTCTGCCGTATAACTACCAATGAAAGTAAAGCCTGTAGGGCAACAGAGAAAAGTCCTTCGCAGCTTTCCTAAAGGCCTTTCAGGGCTCAATTTTTAGCTGCCTTACTGTGAAAAATCAGACCCACCAGTTTTAATGTTGGTTTTAACAGTAAGTGCATATTCCCTGCTGGCTTTCTCTACATGACATAATTAGCACATCTTCAGGGTCTGTCTCAGTTCAGCATGGAGCAGGAGAGCCACATGTCCCGGATGATTTTTGCAAACATATCTCATACTCTTTTCCAGCGTGTGACTGCGAGACTGAACTCTTGCTGGCTAACACGTGCTGCCACTTGCCAAGGTTACTAGGACAACAGTATTCAAACATTAATCCACTGGTGAAGAAGCTGAGCTGCAGCAGGCTATGTACTACCGAAGGTGACCTGCAACTGCAAGGGATGAATTTCAGCTTGTGATTTATTCCATTCACAAGAACTGTTGACTAAAAATACTGGCAAAAATGGTGTCTCCATTGGTTTTCATAGGTCAGAAACACTCTCAACTGAGCACAGAAAAGGAGGCTCAGCAATAGCTTTGGACTGGCTGTAGAACAGTCTCTTTACAAAGGACTGGGCAGAACCCAGTGCCTGTGCTCGAGAACTGCACAAGATCTCTGCAAAAAGGGCTGGGACAAGGCAGGTTCAAAGGCTCCAAATTTCCTCTCCTTCCTCCAAAGCATGAAAGAAAACATACCCACTGTGACAGCATCCAAACTGCCAAGCCAAGCTAAGCTCCTGCACAAGTTTTAATAAAACCCTTTTTTTCTTTTTTTTAATCTAGAAAGATCCTACCTGGCAATGAAGTGCTTTAAATACAAGCTGAATGTGGAAGAGAGGGCTAGACCTGAGCCCAGTTATAATCTCAGCTTCAATCCACCAGTGTCTCAATGCATATTCCTGCAAAAACAGTCGCATGCTTTTAGCTCTCTGCCATCTTCTCATAATTGCTCTACAAAGACTGGCAGGTTTTCCCTTAATGGGAAATATCCTGCAGCATATCTGCAGAAGGAACTGCGAGGCCTATCTCCAGAGTAAATACACAAATAGGAAAAGACAAAAAAGA